TAATCTATTTTTTCCTTTTAATTCTTTTAGTAACATAAATCATAGCAATTATAAAGCCTAAGATTAAAGTTATACCTGCTATTCATGACCAAATAGATTTACCATCAAACTTTTCTTTATTCTTTGAAATATTGTTAGTGACTTCATTAATATTACATATTTTTTTTGTTGGAGGTTTTTTTGAGAAATTAGGGATATTTTATTCCAATTATTTAATTACAAAAGGTTTTATAAGTGTATTCATGGATGCAACTGTTTTTTTGTGCATACATTTGTGTTTACATATATTATTATTATTAAAATAAAATTACAATTAAAATAAGACATGTTAGTAAATTCAAAAATTCAAATTTATACCCAATCCCATAATCATATACCAATTCATGTTCCAATTTCATTAATATTAATATACTGTACATTTTTCATACATTTTCCATGCATAATTTTTTATAGGGAAAACTTAGAAAATGTACAGTATAATAACTATGTTAAGATATGTTTTGTAGTTTTGTATCACATACAATGGATATTCAGCATTGGTGAGTTAATAGATGAAAATGTTCAAAGAGGATTAGTAATGCACATCTTGTGGAGTTACTTTTTTGATGGTAAAAAAATTAAGCTGACAGATATTCATCATCTTTCAGAACAGATCTCCCTTTAAAAATTCCTACAGTGAAGTCATCTTCACAATCACTTTCTACATTGGTGCATATTCTAATTCACATTTCTCTTTAATTAAACTATGAGCAGCCCTAATATATTTTTTCTCTCAAAGACTAATAATATAATTTTTAAATATAATAATTTATACACATTTAATCTCATCCAATTGAAATATTTGCAACACTTCCATCAAACTTACCTACTAACCAACTATAATAAGTACAGAAAATGCTATTAACACCTCTATGTTTAGTTGCTCCTGCAAAATCTGGAACATGATCAGTAGAGTTTCATCTATTTCTACTTTTACTTGTCTCATCCAATGTCAAAGATTACATAAATTCAAATAATTATGGATCCAATAACAACAATAACATTATTAATTTTTCATTCATAATTTTTTGTAATCAAAAACTTTTTTCACTATTTATTTCATTATTTTTTGTTCATTCATTTGGAGATATATATAAAGATGCAAATTTATTTCTTTTAAAAAAATTCTTTCTTCCAATAATGTATAATTACATAAATAGAAAAATTTTATATATTTTCTTTTGATAGCATGCCTAATTATAAAAAAAAAAGTAAAATATTATATTAAAGTGATTGATCTATATAATAAACAAGACTTTTGTTAATAAACATACAGACTCCATCAAGATCTATAAAATAATTAAATCAATTAATTATAGAAATGGATGCTATTCTTTGAAAACACCAGTTTGTATTAATTAAATGATTAATAATAAATTTGTAAAACTTCATGTTAATATTATATTGTAATTCAGGAAAAAGAATAAAAAAATGACTTCCTTAATGCAAGGGTTTTAAATAAAAACATTATATAATTATTAAAGAGTGTCAAATAGCAATTTCATTTCTATGTCCACCAGGGCTCATGTAATTGATTAATCTTGCAATGTGTTGGAACTATAAGCTGATATGAGTCAAAAATGTGATTAAACTTGTGATATGTTACTTCAAGTTCGTTGATTAATTTACTCATTTCACTATACACATTCTGCATAAGAGTTGAATTATATGTATGAGTATTTATGATGGTAAGAAAAAAGACAATATAAAATAATTATTTCTTACCAACACATGTTGCACTACTTTAATCAGTTGTTTTAATTTAGCAATTTCAATAAGATTAACAGGAATTTGAAACTTTGGCCCAGGAATTAAAAGATAAAACTTGTGAACTAATAATTCTAGCAACATTTGACCATCAGTCCCAGCAACCTGGATAAATGGAATTCTAATTTTGTTGGCCTGTTGATCATTTAAATTTAAACTAAGTAATCCATTAAGTATTGTCTGGTTTATTCTTGCTGATTTGCAATGATCTGAAATAACTTTTGTTGGAAAAGAATATACCGCGAATTCCCACTCACCAAGATCTGTACCTGAAGGAGATATAAACCTAACATCACATCTACGACCTTTAGTATGTTTGGATGATATACTTGTAGGGCAGAAAGATTCGCCCCTTTATACAAATAGAAATTTAAATGGTTTGTAAAAGATCAAGATACAAAAAAAATTTTTTTTGAAAGTTATACACTTTGTTACCATTTCTGATTAATTGGTTGCTTCTTTTCTAGTGCCTTTATCACATAAGAAAAAGTTTTGATAATAATGTCACATTCTGTATAATCTTTACCTAGCATATTATTACCATCCAATGTCTCATATAAACTGTGCATAATAAAAGTAAAATAAGCCAAAGTTTTCAAATAAACAAGGAAATTCATATTCACTTACAAGTCAGAATAGATCTTAGTGATTTTATATAAACAGCTATATGATTGTGAATCCATATGTTCTTTTAAGCAATATTTATATGCTTGAGTTTCGTTGCCAGCTTTTATCATCTTTATTTCGATAAAAATGTGAATGAGTATAGTAAAAAAAACAAATAAGTAATGAATAACATTAAGGAATCTTAAGAACATATCTACCTCTTCAACTTTACTTATGAATTTATTGCTTTCATTTGATAATTCTGGAATCTTTAACATCCATTCGTAGTCTTTTACCATAAATTTGCTTTCTTCTAAAGTGAACCATTTATTCATGTGGGATGAAAGGTCTATAATTCTTGAGGCACCATACCTTAAAATTGCTTTTTCTGCAGGAGTCAATCGCTTCTTGCTTTTTGTTGCATGGGCATGATCTGAAATATTTTTTTGAAATATCTCATTAACAGTTTTATTTTCAGTCAGGTTCCATTTATCCCAGGGTTGGCAAATTGACTGGTCCATTGAGAACTGATGGACTTTGAGCTGGTCCATTGCCATTAATAAAATACTA